ATCTATGCCACGAAGAATTGAGGCAGTTCTGAAGGCAAAAGGGGGTCCAACCCGTTACTAGCGTGGTGTACCTAATAAAGTGGCCGGTGAGTGTATATTGCCATTATCAGTGTATGAAATCTTGTCAAATGAAACATTCATTAAGAAAATTTGATGTTCATATCCATGCAGGACAAAGGGGCATTAATATAAAAATTTCATACAATACATAAAATTCATTAGCATAAAGATTTCAAAACATGCAGAAAGATGCCCTATATGGATGCACACTTACTGTATAAACCCATATTTAACAAACATACACACAAACACAATTGTAATAAATACACTTAACATGCATTCACCTACTCATAAAAAAGACTCATTACAGTTGCAGTAGGGCTTTACTTGGATAACCCCTCTCTTATTGCTCTCAGTCCTGGGAGTGCACATGTTCCAGGGCAAAGCGAGATGGAGTTAATTGGCAGCACAGAGCTCAAGTGAATAATTACTTATGGCTGTCGGCAAAGTAGCTACAGGGAGGTGTTCGATTCTCATCACAAGTACAGTACTCTGTTTTGGCTCGGTCCATGTTACCAGTGGGGTTTTCTAAGAGTTACATGGATAAGGTGAGGCACCTTTTAAAGTCAGGGCTGCTGTGAATAGAGCACAAGTGCTACCAGTGTTTGATACATTTCTAAGGTATCAATGGATTACAGTCTATGGAGGTTTGTAAAGAACTGGGGCCTCATGTATCAATGGTGCATTCACACAAAAAGCTTGCGTACGCAATTTTCCACGCAAAACTTCAGATGTCTCAAAACTGAAATGAACGTGGAAATGTGCGCAGACCCACGCCAACTCCAGGGCTGGCGTACGCATGTTTCTGTGGTTTTGGTTCCATTGGCGACACTTAGAGGTGATTCTGAGAAACTGTTCATGATGTGAAAATGATTATTGTTCACACCAGACACACATGATTAACAATAATTACATCCACATGGACACAGTTTAAAAAAAGGACATGCAAAGTTGTGCCAAAAATATATATAACTGGAACGGATTCAGCCTTACTGCTGGATATAATAAAGAGTGTAACACACAGAGCATTTATTTATAAATAGATATAATTTTCTGATCCACGATGAAGAGTGGCTCACTAGCCATTTTCAGGAATAATCCAGTTTGACCCTGCTGTGCTCTGGAGCGTGACACAGCGTGGAGCCGTGCACCACAGAAGCAGCGATCAAACTGGGGTTCCACAGGAGCTTTTCAGAGGGAGCTGGCAGACCGATCGGGACTGTGCCGGTCCAGTCCACCCAAAGCAGAATCGTGCCCAATGGAATTGTCTCATCCATATGATTCTAAAGGCTGAGTTATGGTCGTGCTTTGGAGCACGCGCACCTTCGCCGGCTGTGGTGTTTCATACTTGGCATTTACGTTGTTGTAGATTTCTCTAAAATGACATGTGGAATGTACACATTACAACTTGTGAAAATGCTGTAAGTAGGAGAGCAAAAGCTTGACAGACAAACAGACTGTGCACAAAGGCTGCGGCGTGCACGGCCTTTGCAGAGACTCTCCAACATCAAGTCATGTTATGAAAACTCTCCACTGAGGCGCAGAAACTCGTTTCTTCATATCAGCTATGAAATAAAGATTTATGTCCTACCAAACATCTAAGTTCCTCTGGGTTTACAGTAACTATAGTAATAAACTCGTGTGCAAAGTTAATATTTTCAGACGCAGAATGGATGGTTGAGCCAGTTGCGCACCACAGCAGCATGCACGCACACACACCCCGACACACAATCACTCGTTCTTTGCGTGATAAACATATTTGATTCCTATTCTTACTTAGGATTTTTTTTTAGGAACTGTTGTTTCTTTATATTTGTGACCTGTTTTATTGTTTTTAGTTGTTATTGCTTTCTGTGAAGCACTTTGTGATGTTTGTGTCTGTGAAAGGTGCTATAGAAATAAAGTTTACTTACTACTTACTTATATTAAATTCATTATTTTCTTGACTCAAGAAATCAATTCTGATCGCGCAGGGATCAAACAAACGTGTCCTTCACACATGCAGGAAGTAATTTGCATCTGTTTAACATATGTTAATGAAGGCGTGTCGGGGGAGGTGTCTCACATGCTCTCAGTTCCACATTAATTGTGATGTACAAAAGAAATGTGCATGGATTCAAGCGTACGCATAGTTTGATACATCTGGATTTTTTTTGTGCGTACGCCGTTTTCTGGATTTGACCGTACGCCACGTTTCAGAAAGAAATCCATGCAAGTCTTTGTACATGAGGCTCCAGGACTTAGTGATACCTCACACAGGTCTACCCTATTCTTCTGTCATGTTTCCAGTTTTTGAACAAAGATGCATTTGTTTTATCATATTAGCTAGAAGATGGTTACTGTAAAGACTGGTTTATACATTAGTACACCGTGAGACAGAAGATTGGTGATTAAGTCATTTTGGACATCTGATCAAGTGTTCATAGTTGGGTTGCAGTCACAGGGGATAAATTGTTATAATTTTTCCCTCTGCCCTCCCATAGCACTCCCAATGTAGCGAAGCACTTAGATAAGCATGCAAACAACAACAGTGATAGCAGGATAGATTTTTTTCACTCAACAATCTATCAGTCTTGTGTTTAATAAGGAGTCAGAAAGAAAAAAAACTCATTTTTCCTAGCTTTGCCTTTTGGCTCAACTCTGGCTTCACCACGATGTATCGGTACAGCTCCCGCATCACTGCAGACGCAGCACCAATCCACCTATTGATCTCCCGCTCCATTCTTCCTTCATTCATGAACAAGACCCCAAGATACTTAAACTCCTCCACTTGGGACATGACCTCTTCCCCGACCCGGAGGCGGCATGCTACCCATTTCCGGCTCAAGACAATGGTCTCGGATTTGGAGGCACTGATCCTCGTCCTGGCCACTTCACACTCGGCTGCTGTGTACCGGTCCAGTGAGAGCTGGAGATCACGATCTGATGAAGCCAATAGGACCACATCATCCACAAAAAGCAGAGATGTGATCCTAAGGTCACCAAAACAGATCCCCTCAACACCTTGGCTGCGCCTAGAAATTCTGTCCATAAAAGTTATGAACAGAATCGGTGACAAAGGGCAGCCTTGGCGGAGTCCAACTCTCACCAGAAACAAGTCTTACTTACTACTGGCAATGCGGAACAAACTCTAGCACCAGTCGTACAGGGACCTAACAGCCCATATCAAAGGGCTCGGTACCCCATACTCCCGGAGTACCCCCAGTATGACACCCCAAGGGACATGGTCGAACGCCTTCTCCAAGTCCACAAAACACATGTAGACTGGTTGGGCAATCTTCCATGCACCCTCCAGGACCCTGCTGAGGGTGTAGAGCTGGTCCAATGTTCAACAACCAAGACGAAAACCACACTACTTTTCCTGAATCCGAGCTTCAATTTTTGCATGTACTATAACCCTCAGCTCTTAGAGACTACCTCGCATGGGTAAATGGCCTGAAGATCCATGGGTCTCATACTGATGATGTCATCTTGTCTCTTTGGACAGACAAATCCGCCAGCCAGGCTCTCTACGACATCCTGGCCCAAGAACACTCGGACCTCCAATTGGTCCAGAAGCCTTTCTGCTTCTCGATTGACCATCATACTTCACAGATTCTGAATGTCGAAGGAGTCATTAACCTAAAACTGAACTGGAACCACAGAGAACCAGTCCATTTGTTCCTTGTTAACCTGAACCTTCCATGGTCAGCCTACGTAGGGTCTGACATCCTGGTGAGATTGATTGTCCAAGTGGACACCCTTAATAATGGATGCTGTTTATCACTGTGCACTGTGTTACATGACAAACTGTAGCTATCAAACACATCACTGCACTTTGTATGCTACAGCACAATGTCCATCTTCGACTGTTCACAGACTCTCTCGCTGGCTGATTTTTATCTATAAATACATTCTTGGGCATCTTCCTTCATATTTATGCTCATTTCTGTCTAGAACCTGCAGCCATTATGATCTGCGCTCTCAGGACATCATTGTGATGCAGATGCCAAAAGGTAGAACTGAACTTGGAGATTTTCTGCTCCTGCCACTTGGAATAACACACAGAAGGATTTGAAGTTGTCATCTCTTGTTACCTTGGGACAATTCAAATCAATTTTAAAGGACAAAGACACCAGGGGTCTCATTTATAAAGGATTGCGTGGAAACCATACTAAAAGTGAACGTACGGCCAAAAGGCGGAAATGGTGTACGCCAAAAAAAATTCAGATTTATAAAACCATGCATACGCACGTTTCTGCGCATCTTTCCTTTATAAATCACAGTCGCACGTCAGAGTTTGCGCACGAGGTCCCGCCTCAGGTTCTACACTCTACACGCCCACATTCAACCATAAACAGTCAATGTAAAGTACCTCATGAATGTTAAGATGTATTTAAATCAGTCAGCTGATCAGTGTCAACAAAAGTGATTGGTTCAGATGCTCCGTCGTGCGTCTGGAGGATGACAGGTGCTGACTGACAGCTGCTCACBTGAACAGAATGTCTGTAATTGACACAGATTTTCCCTCATTTTGCTTTAGAGTAATCTAACGATTTTTATAAAAAAAATACTCATCTTCAAATTAATTTTCCATCAGAGCCTGAAGGACGATAAAAACAATAAAAATAAAATTAAAAAAGTCAGATAAAATTTGAAGTAAGTCCACCGCTCTTCTCCTCGTCCTCTCCCCCTCCTGCCTGCTCTGTTATCTGCGGCAGACACCCCCGCCCGCGCGTGACAAACACTGGCGAGGTAATGCGCCCTGCGTGTGTATCCAAAGCGTGACTTTTGCTGCCTGGGATTTGCGCACGGGAACTTTTATTTTAGATTTAAGTTTTTTTTTATTTCAAAGGTCCTCATGGCTCAGCAGCAGAAGCATAAATATTACTGTTAAGAAAGCTGATGATAAAGTTGAATAAAAAATCTAAGTCTGATAATGAAGGTAAATTAAATATCTGACAGTGATCATGACACAGTGTGACTCTAATTCTTCTATTCACCATCTGTGTCGCAGTTTCACGTCTCCAAAATGAGCGTACGCATGGGTCAGAGCTGGCGTGAGGCACCGCACATTTTCACATCAAGTTTGGATTTTATAAATCACAACCTTGGCGTAAAAAGTGGCGTACGCAAGTTTCTGBYCTCAAATTGTGCGTACGCCAGTTTTATAAATCCGACCCCAGATCACTTGGCACCTGCAGATGCCCTCAAGTTTAGTTCTGTGATGTCTATTAGTTTTGAAGTTTGGATTTGTTGTTTTTGTGTTTTTTTTTGTTTTGTTTTTTTTTTGCTGCTGTCTTGGCCAGGTTACTCTTGAAAAAGAGGTTTTAAATCCCAATGAGTCAATTTCCTGGTTAAATAAAGGATACTACTACTACTACTACTACTAATACTACTACTACTACTACTACTACTAATACTACTACTACTACTACTACTACTACTACTACTTCCTGCTTTGAACCCAGACAGTCTTAAAGCTGGACAGACCATCCCTGATGTCTGCAAGGTTGCTAACACCCAGAGTACTACGGTACCTCCTCAAAGTACAAACTGTTTGATTCGAATCCACATCCTGTCAGGACAAGCTTTTAACTGCAACCAGTGTTCTTTCAACCATCTCCTATGTTCTACCTATGTTAAAGGTAGACATTATTATTATTGTAGACATTACAAAGGTAGACATTTATTGTCTACTTTTGCCTGTCAGTGGTGGGATATAAGAAGGAGAAAGTTCGTTCACTCTGTCTCCTGAATGTCCACAAGCCACACTCCACTGAGACAAAAAAAAGAAGAATTATAAATAAAACTAAGTGTTCTTTTGTCATATAAATATAACATCTTATTGCTGACCTTTATGGGAGGTTGAAGGCTGTAGTTGAAAAATGTTTAGTGTAAGAATGACCACAACTCCATCATTTCTCATCACAAGATGATCTTAGTCTAAAACTCTGGCATGAAAGGCGGTGGGCAATATGTTCCTTCAAGGCCTTTAACACTTTTTCTGCTTGTGATCCACTATACTTCCATACACTCTTCTGAATGAGCTTCTTTTTATGAGTTTGCCAAATGGGGCTCAATGACAGGAAACATACGGCGACAGTGAGCGTCTTCTGTACAAAGTGTGTGTTTATTTACTGTAATGAAAATTTCTAAAAATAACATGAGTACACTCTTACTTCCATCTGCAGTCAAACCTTACAGGGTGGTAAATTTTTTTTACCAAACATCACAAATAAATTATTTCTATTTTGTTTAGCAGCAGGGAGGCTATATTCAGGCAGAGACAATGAAAAGAAGCTTGGGGGAGACAGAAGGTATTTGTGTGGAACATAAAGAGACCCTTTTAATAATAAAACAGTGAAGCAGTGGGTGGTGAGACAATGGGAGTTGGCAGAGGCACAGCCGTTCTTATTGCCTTACCTGTGAGTTCTGGATCTGGATGGTTCCCGGAGGTAGTGCCTGCGTTAACACTTGCCCCTGCGATGTCACCATGGCAACCGGCTGGTACAAGGTCCCACCTGAGGGGATAATTTGCTGCAGTGAGTATCAAGTGGCCTCAGCAGCTACTGGAAGCCGCATCCTGCACCACCAGCAGAGGCTTGTTAACTGCTTGTCAGTCTTGCAATCAAAATCACAGCAAACAAGAAGGTTGGGGGATTAAATTTATTGATGTCCTCTAACCCTGACAAAGGGAGGAGGAGGAGCAGGGTCTTTTTACTCCTTGCTTAATTTGCCTTGATCAACACACTCTTTTCGCATTCTGTTTGAGCCCCACAGAGTGCAGTGATCAAAGGCAATAACACTGATTTATTTAGGGTTAAAGGGGTTTTCCACAGGGCAGGATTAACATTTCAGTGTACTACTGCCTTGACATTACAACGAAGCATTCAAATGCACCAGACATAAAAGACATGCTAATGACACTAATTGTGCATGCGTGTGTGTGTGTGTATGTGTGTGTGTGTGTGTGTGTGTGTGTGTGTGTGTGTGTGTGTGTGTGTGTGTGTG